ATAACACCCATAACACATTGAATCAACAATGTTTTTACAAGTCAAAATTTTGTTGAAAGTAGCACTTTCTTGGAGGGATTCGGGAATAGTTGTGTTCTTTTCTAAAGGTTTTAAGCCCATGAAATTTTTACAGTGTACTTTGGAACTTTCATGTAACTTTGCACTTCGGATGAAATTCTTTAAATCGTTATATCCCGGGACGTCGTACAAATAGTACGGCAGAGCCATTTATATGTTTCGTAGCAAGTTGATTTAAAAGACTTGGAGTACTGACGATTCTGTCGCATATCAATGGAAGTTAAACGAATTAACAGTTTTGACTGCTCGGTATTTAGCAAAATTTGCCCACGTTTTAGCTCGGTTCGCCGTGAAAACGGCGTTTCAAGAAGCAACATGACGATATCGTACTCGGGATTCATTTTTCACTCATCTGTACCTATGATAAAAGAGACAATAACACAAAACATCAACACGTGGGTTTTTATTCACATTCATGCTAATTACCCACGCACCCCGCAACCCTACCGTTCTGTAAAATAAATGGAAAAATGAAAAATGGTTTAATGAGTACACCGAAATTGGCCGAAAAGCACCTAAGATATCGTCTCAGTTCCGAGCGAACGCATGTATAGGAGTATAGGAGCTGAGCCATGGAAATCCGTGTCTGTGATTGGGCTTCGCTGGTTCAAGTGAACCGATGTTCTGGCCGCTTCAGTTAAAGAACTAGGGGCATAAATCGTACGGTATTCAACGAAAAATGTCAGCAGGAAGCGTATGTACAGATTTCCCATTTCAACATATTTTTGTAACTAAAAATGCATTGAAAACTCTTTTTTAATTATAAATTAAGTCAATCTGTTCTTAAGATATATGCTGTGAGGCGCCGCCTCACTTGCCTCATATGACGAGCCGCCACTGATACTTCAAGACCAATTGCCAGTTTTATTTTGTACGTACCTTTCAATAACACGCTGTATACTATTTTTTCCCTCTCGGGACTATAGATACTAACTTTTAAATTGGAAGAAAATATTCGAAATAACCTATCATCAATCGCGATACTAAGCCTTACCGGCTAACCAAGGCTATAGGTGCAAATAAGACGAGCCATTTTGAATTTTTGGATGTGTTTACATTACCACTTTAAGTTAAAAAATGTTTAGTTGTTATTTAAACACTTTTTATCCCTAGGGTCAAAAAGAGCCACTTTAGTCCCGATTTACAGGGATTAAAATATCAATTTAAGCTCGGGACGGCACAAAATAAAAAAAAAACCTACGCCTCATTCATTTTTAAGTACACGTCTGATTTACTTTCCACGTTTGCTCTTTACTAAGAACACATCCTGCTAGTTTAAACTGTTTTAACCTGAAACCGAGTAAGTTTAAAACATTTTATGTTATTCTTTACCTAAAACGAAATAAAACTGATGTAAATATAACGACATTAAAGTTTACAGCGTCTAATGGAAAACTTTTGACTTTAAACGTCGAATTAGCCGTTCTAAAAGGTGACACAGCAAGAGTGCACAGATATACAGGACGTTTTTTTTGACGATATTTTAGTTTTGGAAGAAGAATTAAGAACTACCACGTTGAAATTTTGTAACAATTGGGAACATATTATATTTTAGTGAGGAAAAAATTTGTGGAAGGTTATTTCGACACAACTTTGAAGTAAAATCCCCCTCATCTTAAAAAAATTATAAAATTTGATTTTGATATTTTCGTTTTATGATAATCTCTATAAAGTGAAAACCAGTGGCGTAATTAAACACCTTCCCCCCAGTCCATGTGGGGACGCGATCTGAATAAGCTTGTATAATATGAAAGTCTATTTAAAGTAGATAACGGGAAAATTTTCTCAGTACATGCTTAACTTGGACTGTTTATGTTTATACTATAGAATTCGACTATTGATTGGCACGTCCAGATTACAAACATCAATGGTTAAAAGAAATTGAAATTTTATTGATTTTGTCTCAACGCAGAAGAGAGGACTGGTTAACTAATTAACCACACTGTTTTTCCCCAAAAACGCTAATATAAAATTTGAAAAACACTTATTAAGCAAAGTGGAAAGATGATGGACAAAGTTTGATTAACGATTTACCATGCTTCCAGTAACCTTAATTTATTTGCAACATTTCATAGCATTCGTTTTTTGCAATTAAAGAAAAGACCGTTCTGGCCCCCGAGATTTCATAATTTTAAGAACATTTTTAGAAAATGATTTCGACACAAGTGTAGTCCGATAAGGCCTGTTTTTTTAAATGTTATAAAATTTAATCCTGCGATTTTCGTTTTATGAAAACCTATATACAGTAAAAATTAGCGTCGCTCAAGTGTGAACAGTGTGAAATATAAATTCTTAAGGCAAATATCCAACTAGAAAAAATGTAGATATTTTCATTTTGTCAGTATATGCTTAACTTCGACCGTTTCTGTTTATACTTCGAAAAAATTCTACTATTAGCACGTTCAGATTACAAAGATCAGCGGTTAAAAGAAAGATAATGGACAAATTTTGATTAACGATTTATTTACCAAACATCCAGTAATCTCAAGGTATTTGCAGATTTCACAGCATTCCGTTTTTGCAATTTCAAAATTAAATGGTAAAATGTTGTTATACAATTTTAACTTATTTCCCAAAAATGTGGATGCCAAGATTTTAGAATATTCGTTTTTGCATTTTCAAAATTACCATGCCTTAACACATTTACAAAATTTCATTGGATTCTGTTTTGCAGTTTCGAAATTAAGTTCCATAATGTCGTTATACATTTTTTTTTGTTCAAAAATATGGACGGCTAGGGTAAAAACTCAACACGTATTCATAAACCACGTTTACAGGAGTATAGTCGTTTCCAAAAAAAAATCGGGCAAGATGAGTGGATCAGGTTCACATAGATCAATGAAAAGCAATTAGAATGTGACTCATGTCAATGTCATTTGCCCGAAATTTTTTTGAAACAACGCTATCTTATTTTATAAAATTTAAATAATATTTATTTTATTTATTTATTATCAAAATTTTGGTTAAGGTTTTAGCATCTGCACCACATTCTTAATATACGTGCAGAACTTGAGAACAATCAGTTCAGTAGTTTAGATTATCTGTCTAATTAAAATCCGGATAGACGATAGACAGACATGCACACAGAGAGACGGACGGAAACGGGGGACCTATGAAACGTCAAAAAAACATAAATTTACTAGTCGCCCAATGGACTCGATTACAATACTTACTCATGGAGTAAAAAAGCTAAAAGCGAGAAATCTAATAGCAATAATTTTAAATATTTTCTGCCAATTAATGAGGAAAAACCTGCACTTTAAATATAGCTATTTATGTATCGCTATTCGTGGTAATGCATTTTTTAAGGTTAAATGGCAAAAATATAGTTTTTAACCACAGTAACTCGCTGCTTTACACAGACATTAAATCTCTTTAACGTGTACCTAGAAATTTTGATGGCCAGATCCGGCTTCAGATTTATTCAAATGTTCTTTGCCTGCTACTAATAAAGACTCGTCAATTTAAATAAGTTATCTTCAAAAATAAAAAACTTCGTTTCCGTAGAAATTTCCAAGTACACCACTTCATCCTTTGACAGGTAGTAAGTGCAATATTATTTACAACTAATGCGGTTTCTCTTCAGTCATTGGCTTTCATACAATCGACCCGATTTTAGTGCTGTCATATAACCTTAGGAGAAATGGATCCCTATACTTCAGTATCACTCTAGCAAATTACAACCACATTCGTGATGAAAAAATTGCACTTCGGCACCTGAATGCACTAACGACCGTTGTTAATGAGCGCACTAAATGACTTAAGTGACTCCAGGAAATGAAAGTAATTAAATTAGCAGGAAATGGAATTACGTTCTGCACTTTTACTCTGGGCATATTTTTCCCAGTTGATGTCCTAGTAATTAACAAATTACAATTACAAATATATAAAGTACATTTACAATAGTCGCTTCAAAAACTGAACTGATTACTGATTAATAAAAGATACTTAGGACTAAGGACCAGTTTATAGAACATTTTAGTTGTGATTAAGTTAATCACGTTTAATGAGGCGTTTAACCACATCTGATTGGCATAATGGCGTCGGTCACGTAGTAATTTAATGTTTTAAAAAAATTTCATTGCAATTAGATGTTTAATTGGGCTCTAAGACAAACTGAATAATTTGCACAAAATTTGAACTAAATTGTGATTAAAGCTTTAAAAATCCATGGTACCTTTGATCCTATTTTTTATTGTTCCCTCGGTATATATTTAAAAAAATACGTAGCAATTATCTTGGTTGGACCAATTTCCAGATATTCCCACCGACTTCATTTTCTTGAATAGAATTGCAACGCATTTAAGTAAAAGCTTTGAAGTTAGTAATTTAGTACGGCATTTATTTTAAGCAGGTCATTCAATGGGTACTCCCATTTGAAGCAAATTAAGGATGTGAAAAGTTCATATTTTATGACAAAATATGGAAATATAGACATAAAAAAAATATTTAATTATGACGTTACAAACCTTTGTGAAAAAATTTGTCACAAATATGTATAATTATGAATTATTGAACTTATTTCATAGTTTCTCTGCCACAGGCTTCAATAACGATTTTATCAGGTGGATAATAACAAACTGCTTATTTTACTGTAGTGTTGTACGTTATGCCAAAGAATTCGTGTCGTGTAACCCGCAACACTGTCGTTGTTTTTGACTCTGATTTACTATTATTCTATGTTAATTTTTTCCGACTTGTAGTATCGTCGATTTGTTAAAACAAAAAAAAACTATGATGTAAAATATAGATCTAGTCCAATATTAGCGACAGCGTTACGGTTAGCACGGCACAAGTTTTTTGGAATCCTACAATAATAAAAACGATCCTTTAGATTGCACATTCAGATACATAATCATAACGTTATATTATTGGTTGTCACGTCAAGAATGTATTTTAAGTTGGTGTGTTTTTTTTTTCAGGTTCACGAATATCTCAGATCGAAGCTGTGTTCACTGTACGAGAACGACTGCATATTCGATAAGTTCGAGTGCTGCTGGAACGGCAACGACATGGCAATAATGACTGGTTCCTACAACAATTTCTTTAGGATGTTCGATAGGACAACGAAAAGAGAAGTGACACTGGAAGCTTCAAAGGATATCGCCAAACCTAAAACAATTTTAAAACCGAGAAAAGTGTGTTCGGGGGGGAAACGTAAAAAAGATGAAATTAGTGTGGACTGTTTAGATTTTAATAAAAAAATATTACACACAGCCTGGCATCCTACAGAGAATATCATTGCAGTGGCGGCAACTAATAACTTATTTTTATTTCAGGATAAGTTCTAGTGTAATTAATTTTCGTCTCATATTCAGGTTGTTTTCCGTCTCAAATTTCGTTTCTGATTTTCTTCCTTATTGATTGCGGCAGCAGCGCTCTAGTAAATCGACGGTTTTAACTGAATTCGTTTTATCATGCAACGGAATTTTTATATACGAGCTTTGTTTATTGTGATATGGAGGATGTGGTGTAGCTAAATTTTGTTGTCAGCAGGAATTGATCTACTGAGTATTTTTTCAATGCAGACAGTTTACCTCTAATAGCGAAATTGTATATGTTTTATAAGTAAGTTTTTTACAAACTAATAAATTATTACCGAAGTTTTGTGTGCTTATTTATGACCGAGGCGGTGTACGCTTGTGACGATATTAGAGGGAAACTAACATCCAACAAGTGCTTATCAATGTCTGTTAATTGCTTGCTACCGATTTCGTTGTATGGTATTTTAATGTAACATATTAGCCATTAAAAATATTGAAACATTGTACAAAATGTAAATATATACAGAATTAATTTTTTTACCAATGTTTTCCCAATGTAATTCGCACTTTTATTTTACAATATTTTTTCGAAAAGCGTAGATATTTTAAGCAGAAATCATTTTCTGAATATGAACGATATTATGGAGCGATTTGCCTTACAGTGCCATTTGTTGAAATTGATCTTTTTTTGTTATTTTTTAATCTGGCGGTGAAGCTTTCGGCTTGCGAAATACATTAAAATCAATACAGTACATCTAATAATAACGATAATTTAAGTTAATTTTAAATTATAATTTAGTTGTAAGATGGTTATTGAATAAGACACCAAATAAATTGTTGTGAGATTTGGTTTTACGTAGAATCACCTAATGTGTTAAATTATTTTTTTTTGTTTTTGCTAATTGTTTACAATTATACATTCCTTAATTACAATTGGACATATTCTAAATTGCTGTAACTCATACAATTGTTATACATTTTCAATAATACAAAAAACCTAGTTTCACTGTTTTTTATTCTTCCAGCAAGATTTGGCAGAGATTGAGAAATTGAGCAATAAAAATTTGATATGGTTGTTATCAAGACAGTGTATTACGCCATTGTTTCATTTACCCGTCATAACCTTCCCAAAATGGCATATAAGAAGTGATTGCTTACAAAATGGAGAATTCTTTTTAAAAAGCCCTGTTTTTTAATTTTATTTATTTGTTGTGAAAGTTGGTGTTTGGAATAATTTCCGTTATGCTTTTTTTTCAAATGAAATCCCCTATTAAATAAATGATTACACTTGAAATTTGGAAATATTTTTGTGTTACTTGATTTTCATTTTCATAATAATTATCTCTATTTAAAAAAATCGGATGAAAAATTTTGCCTTCAATTTTAAAACGCCGTCTTCATAATTAAAGTCACATAAGTAATCATTTAATTAAAAACTAGTAATTGACTACTTACTAATTAAATTTCAGTTCATCCATAGTGTTCTTGCTTAATAAACAATTTCCTAAATACATGTTATGAGATATAGGCAGCGTTTATTTACGAAAATACACCTTGGTATCAATGGTTGTCTATCTAGAAATAGTTCTATTAAGAAAATAAATATTAATAAAAAATATAATTCACAGAAATTAAAGGATACCTAGAGATATTAGTGAATAAAAACTGTTTGTTTTAATTGTTTTAGAATAGGTGTTTTATTTTATTACATTTTTCAGATGTTTCATTTGATAAGTTTTTAGTTTTTTTTTTTTAGAGAGCAAAAATTTGGAAATTTTAGAACAATCTGCAAATTAATAAAATAAAATTTTTTATTATAAATTTCTTTAATGAATAATATTACGTCGCCTGAGAACTTGTTTGATCTACAGACCAGAGCGCACTCAGGCCAATATCGCCTCTAAGCGATTTATCTATGCCGACTTTCGTTAATTCTGATCTAATTCGAGCTTCTGAACGGACTTTACAACGAATAAGTGAACAAAGTTCTTAAACATCTTAAGAATTTAAATACATAATGTACTCGAATGACAAAATTTACATTTCAAATTGTATTATCAAATGGTAAAACGCTCACCAAAATTTGTCACCAACAATGAAATTACTCTTCAAATTTTATAATAGTAGATGTAATTTAAATTTTATATCCCTCGTTTATGGTTTATGAATCCGTGTAGAGTTTACCTTAGACGTGAAGATTTTTGGAAAAAATCAACATTTTCCAAGTTATAGTTATTGGAAGTCAAGATTTATCCGTTGATGCCCTCCTGGAGTTGATGATGTCATCTTACAATTTGGTCTAATAAATGTTATTTAAATGTTAAAAAGTAGCATAGTCCTGAACTTGTGGTTTATAAATACGCGATTGAGATTTTTGGCCTTTTTATATTTCAATTTTGGACTTTTTCGATTTTTTCATTTTTCAAATTTCGATGTTTCTAAATTTTCAGTTTTCCAATTTCTGAAATAATCTTTTTTTTTCCCATTTCTCAATTTCCCAAAATTTCCATTTTTCACTTCTTCAAAGCTTCAATTTTTCGATTTTTTAAGCTTACGATTTTTCGACTTTGCTTTTTTAGTTTTTCGATTTCTCAATTTTCCAATTTTTTTATTTCTCAATTTTTTGTATATTTCTTTCAGTTTTGAGATTTTTCAATATCTCGATTTTTCGATGTTTCGATTTTCCAGTTATCCGATTTTTCACTGTTTAAATTCTGGAATTTATCGACTTTTCAGTTTTTCGATTTGTAAGTTTTAAATTTTTGAATTTTAATTTTTTGATATTTGGATTCCTCGATTTTTTGATTTTGCAGTTCTTCGGTATTACTATTTTTCAATTTTTCAAATTTTGACGTTGTTAAATTTTCAGTTTTCCATTTAATTTTGCAATTTTTAAATTTCTAGATTTTTCGATTCCTCGAGTTTTCAGGTTTTCTATATTTTAATTATTCAATTTTCCGAATTTTTAAATTTTCGATTATTCAATTTTTTAAGATCTCGATTTATCGAGATTCGGATGTTTCGATGTTTTGATTGTTCGATCTCTGGATTTATCAATTTTTCCTTTTTTTAACTTTTTGACTTCTCGACTTTTCGACTCCTCGATTTCTCGTTCTTTTGATTTTTCCATTTCTCGATGTCTCAGTTTTTGAATTTTTTGATGTTTGGATTTTTCGATTTGTCGGGTTTCTTGATGTTTAGATTCCTCCATTTTTCAATTTTACGATATTTTAATTTTTCAATGTTTTAAATTTTAGATTTTTCGACTTTTCGATTTTTTTGTTTTTCAATATTCCTTAATTTTCTTACAATTTCTCAATTTATCTATATTTTGAATTTCCTATTTCTCGACTTCTCAATGTTTCGATCTTTCAGTTCTTCAGTTCTTCAATTTTTCGACTTTTCAGGTTTTTGATTTTTCGATTTTTCAATTTTTTAATTTCCCAATTTTTGGATATTTCCTTCAAATTTGTGATTTTTCAGTTTTTCGATCCTTCATCAATTTTTCTTAGATTTTCAGTTTTTCGATATTTGAGTTTTGGGATTTTTAATTATCTCGACATTTCGATTTTTCGAGTTTTGGATTTTTCAATTTCTCGATTTTTAAATTTTAGATTTTCCAATTTTTTTTTCATGTTTGGATTTCTCTATTTTACAATTTTTCGATATTTGAATTTTTCAGTGTTTAAGATTTTCGATTTTATTTTTCAATTTCTCGATTTTTCAGTTCTGGAATATTTCAATTTTTTTAATTTTCGATTTTTTAATTTTGCCATCTTGATTTTTCGATTTTTTCAATTTTTCGACTTTGATTTTTATATTTCCCGGTTTTTTAAGTTTTCGATTTTTCAATTCTTTCAATATTATCAGTTTTGGGAACTTTTCAATTTCTGTTTTTTTAATTTTTCGATTTTAAAAATTTTTACTCTTCAGTTTTAAAATTTTCTTCTCTTTATTCAATTTCTCGATTCATCAATTTTTCAGTTTTTAACTTTTCTTCTCGTCTTTCGACTCCTGGATACTCTGATTTTTCGATGTCTCAGTTTTTGAATTATCGATCAGTTTTCGGAATTTTTAAATTTTCGATTTTCCAATTTTTTTAAATTTTTGGATATTTCGATTTTTCAATTATTCGGTTGTTTATTTACCCGATTTTTAAATTTTAGATTTTTCAATTTTTATTTTTGTGATTTTTCAATTTTTTGATGTCTCAATTTATCGAATTCAGATGTTTCGATGTAATGTTTCGATTATTCAATTTCTCGATTCATCAATTTTTCAGTTTTTAACTTTTCTTCTCGTCTTTCGACTCCTGGATACTCTGATTTTTGGATTTCTCAGTTTTTCAAATTTTTACTTTTGGGTTTTTCAATTTTTCCATGTTTCGATTTTTCAGTTTTTCGATTTGTAAGTTTTAAATTATCGAATTTTTATGTTTTGATTTTTTGATGTTTAGATTTCCCAATTTTTCAATTGTGTGATATTTTAATTGTTCAATGTTTTAAATTTTAGATTTTCCAATTTTTTTTCATGTTTGGATTTCTCGATTTTACAATTTTTCGATATTTGAATTTTTCAGTGTTTAAAATTTTCGATTTTTCGATTTATCGATTTTTCAGTTCTTGAATATTTTTATTTTTTCAATTTTTTAATTTTGCCATCTTTCTTTTTCGATTTTTAAAATTTTTCGACTTCGAATTTTAGAATTCCCGATTTTTTAAGTTTTCGATTTCTCAATTTTTTCAATATTTGGTAACTTTTCAATTTCTGTTTTTTTTCTAATTTTTCGATTTTAAAAATTTTTTATTCTCCAATTTTAAAATTTTAGGTTTTTCAATTTCTCGAGTGTTCAGTTCTTCAAAATTTTTCAATTTTTAAAATTTTGATGTTTCTGAATTTTCAGTCTTCCGATTTCTCAGTTAATCTATTTTTTGATTTTCCCATTTCCCGACTTCCCAACGTTTCGATCTTTCAGCTCATCAGTTCTTCAATTTTTCGACTTTTCAGGTTTTTTATTTTTCGATTTTTCAATTTTTTTATTTCTCAGTTTTTGTGTATTTCATTTAATTTCGTGATTTGTCAGTTTTTCAATTCTTCAATTTTTCTTAGATTTTCAGTTTTTCGTTATTTGAGTTTTGGATTTTTCGATTTCTCGTATATTTTAATTTTTCAGTTTTCAGAATTTTTGAATTTTTGATTTTCCAATTTTTTAAAATTTTTCCATGCTTCGAATTTTCAATTAACCAATTGTTCAATTACCCGATTTTTAAATTTTAGATTTTTAAATTTTTTGATTTCTCAATTTATCGAATTCAGATCTTTCGCTGTGATGTTTCGATTATTCAGTTTCTCGATTAATCAATTTTTCAGTTTTTAACTTTTCTTCTCGGCTTTCGACTCCTCGATACAGTGATTTTTCGATTTCTCGATGTCTCAGTTTTTGAATTTTTCGATGTTTCGATTTTTGGATTTCTCGGTTTTTTGATTTTTTACTTTTGGGTTTTTCAATTTTTCGATGTTTCGATTTGTAAGTTAAATTTTCGAATTTTTAATTTTTGATTTTTTCATGTTTGGATTTCTCAATTTTTCAATTTTGTGATATTTTTATTGTTGAATGTTTTAAATTTTAGATTTTTCGATTTCTCGATTTGTTTTTTTTTCAGTTTTTCGATTTTTAAATTTTCGAATTTTTACCTTTTTGATTTTTTGATGTTTGGATTTCTCCATTTTTCAATTTTACGATATTTTTATTTTTCAGTGTTAAAGTTTAGATTTTTCGATTTTTCGATTTTTTAGTTCTTCAATATTTCTTAATTTTCAGTTTTCTAATTTCTCAATTTATCTATATTTTGAATTTCCTATTTCTCGACTTCCCAAAGTTTCGATCTTTCAGTTCTTCAGTTCTTCAATTTTTCGATTTTTCAGGTTTTGGATTTTTCAATTTTTTAATTTCCCAATTTTTGGATATTTCGTTCAAATTTGTGATTTTTCATTTTTTCGATTCTTCAATTTTTCTTAGATTTTCAGTTTTTCGATGTTTGAGTTTCAGGATTTTTTAGTATTCCGACTTTCGATTTTTTGAGTTTTGGATTTTTTGATTTGTCGACTTTTTACTTTTTGGATTTTAAACTTTACGTTTTTCAATTTTTCGAGTGTTTTATACTTCGATTTCTGAATTTTTTAACTTTTCAAGTTTTCAATTTCTCAATTTTTTCAACATTATCAGTTTGGGGAACTTTTCAATTTCTGTTTTTTTTTATTTTTCGATATTTTAACAATAATAACTATTTCCAAGTTCTCAGGCGACTATTACTCTGAATATTATCAATGTAAACTCCTACCATAAAACATATCAGCAAAATCATTTTACTCTAGTCTATATTCAAAATTTTGAGGTTATGTGTTAAGTGTTCGTTGTCGTCCAAGTTCAAATTTAAACCCAAAAATGGCGCTACAGCAAATCAAAATGTTTGAGATTTTTTAATTTAACGGTTTTTTAACATTTCTAAGAATGCTAGTTTGAGCCGGATGGGTTTATACACCAACAACACTTTTTGTAATAATTATATTTCAATCAGTCGTTACATTACATTAAATTACGAACGCAAAATAAAATCCTACTTTTGTACACAATTTCCTATCTACGGTTACACTTTTAAAAATCACTACATTAAACTTCCATTTTCAGCACCAACTCCCGCTATCCACCCCATTTTCGAGCAATTTCTGCCCATAACTCATCCACTTGGCAGTCTCGTGACACCCATTAATCCCATTTGTTTCCAAATTGCTCGGGGTTTCCCCCTTGTGGTTCCTCTTCCTTGACTCATTCTTCTGTGGGGAACTACTCGGCGTAGTCGAAGGGGTTTCCACCGACTGTAGACTCTGTGTCTTATGCAAAGACAACCGAATCGGTTTTTTGGGCGGAGTCGGTCTCGGCTTCACCTCCGAATAGTACCCGGTGTAACCCGCCAACTTCCGATTATTCTCGATCGGTTCCGAAGTATAGTCGATACTCTTCGTTTTGTAACTAGTCGTGGAGTTACAGTCGCTATCAAAATCTAAGGACTTAACACTCCGACTGTCTTGTATTTTTTTATAGACGCGTTTATCGTTGTTCGAATTTGTGTCTAATTCCTCGACACTTTTTGAGTCGGAGTATTTCGGACCAATGTGTATTTCCGAACGAAAATCTAGAACTGAAGTAGATTTACGAGCGTTGTAGTGTTTTAAAATATCAGAGTTGTATTTTTCGGACGCAGTAATGCACTTTTGTCTGTGTTTTTCATACAGACTGTCTCGATTAGTTCGAGTGAGTTCGTGGACGATTTTCGTTGCTTTCTTGTAACTCTGGTCCATGATATCTGAACCAAAGTCTTTTTCAGAGTTTGTTGAATATCGATGATTCTCGTTAGTGTTCGAGTATCTGTGCCCATTTTCCGTGTTTCGTTTGTTATATCTAGTCACGTGTTCAATCGCGGAGTTAGTTTCAGAGTTGTAGTCCTTTTCTCTGTGGTGATGATGGTGACTGTGTTTCCGATAAGTCACCTTTTCGTCCAAATTCTGGGTACTAGTACAAGTCTGTAACCCATGCCGCGATCTGTGCTTGTGTCTGTGACCTTTGTGGCAGTGGTAGCCTTCAGGAGGTTGCGGACTTGGTGCTACGATATGAGTATTTGAAACGTTAGAAAGACTACTTTTGGATCTGACAGGAAGCGAAGAGTGTGTGTCTTTGGACGATTCCAAACCGGGGATGTTTGCTACTAGTGCTGTCACTTGAGGACCTTTTTGAAAGACTTGGACTTCTTTGGGATTTTGGGGGTTCGTGGACACAGTCGGTTGCGTAGTTATGTTAATGTTGGTCACGTTTTGGTTTGTTTTGACTGTTGAAATCACAGGAGTTTTGGCAAGAACGCGGAGATCTTGGTCGGATTTGTTGCGGCACAGGAGTTCGGAAACCTGAAGCAAAATATTTCGATTACTATCTTCATATAACACGAAAATAACGAATTTAACATTGACATCAAAATCGATTTAGAGGTTATAGAACATCAACTGTCGTAATTACTTTAACAGTTCTAACAAAACTTATTACTAGGTACTCTACCAGAACCAACGAACCCCACATTACTTAACTGTAAACCAAAAGCCTTTCCTTTTTCAACATCAACAACGTCTTTTCCGTTAAAATACAAACACCAGGAAAACATTACTCTCACTAGTTTCCGGTCTCGGCCTCAACGAATGCAAATGTCGCAACCGCCTGCTACACTAAAACTTAATTACCTGTTCCTCCAAGTAGGAAATTCGATGCGTCAGTCGAATGTTGTCCGAAATCAGCCCTTCCTTCGTCTTCTGGGCTTCTTCGGCCCTTTCCCGCACAGCCTCCAGTTCGCATCGAAGCGACGCCACTTCTTTGTTGGTGGTACCCAACGAGATGTTGGTACCATTTTCTGATAATTTCCGCAGGATCACGATTTGGGCGGGATCTGGAGCAGCGGCAAGTAGTCGGCTTAAGTCGTCTCGGTTCTTCGTTAAGACAATTTTCCCGTTGACTTCGACTAATCTGTAATGAGAATAATCAGACTCCCACTCTCCACACTATGCTGAGCACGAGAAATATGGCTTAAGCGATAATTTATTTCTTGAGCAATTTGTCGGCTTAAACATACATCGAGGAGGTTTCGTGGAAAGTAGTGGTTAAATCGAGTGATTGTATGGTGAGGGAACTGTTAGCTCTTGGAACTTGAATTAGAGTTAGTAGCGTGTGGAAGTCGTAGATGGAGAAGAATATGCGGCAAAAAATGTTCATTTTTAATAGAACGACAGGTGCTCATTTTTTTTTAATGAAATATCTGTATTTATTATGTTGTATAAGTGGTAGAAAAACCCTAATGCAGTTACAATTCATTAATTTAAATTAGCTGACGTTTCATTAATTTAGAGCTTGATAATTAATTGTATTAACTAATAAGTCTGCGATTTTTAGTCAGTTTCACTGTACATAATTTCACTGTTGTATTGTTCACAACATAAAATGTGAATATTAATGATACGGTTAGAATCGTCAATTCTATGCAGTGAATTCTTGGAGCTCCACACAGCACCTCTATTGAAGTAGATGAATCTGAAAATAATCTAATGACGGTGAATGGAGTCCCTCATTATTCTCAAGCGAATTTTCCACATACCCCGCAGCTAAGCATTATATCGCTAACGTCCGTGTAATTTCGCCTATAGCACTTGCACACTCCATTATTTGACTTGACTCAAGTTCACTAATTTTTCTAATGTTTCTTGTAAATATTTGAACAAAAAACATGAAATACATTTAAAAGCATCTGACTGATGTCTAAATATATATTTACTTTTTCTGTTTACTTCCCGAGTCTAAGCTAAGAAAATATAATCGATTTCATTAAGCGACTCGCTAGTTTTATGTCTTTCCGACATTTCATCATTTCTAGAATACGAAAACATAGGTTCCTCGTTTTCGTCTGTCTGCGTCTCAGTCGATTTTATTAGACTGGTAATCTTCTAAACTACCGGACCGATTGTTGTATGTATATTAGGACTTTCGTGTATGTAGATGGTAAAATGCTAACGAAAATTTGTCTGATTATCCCACCAACGATGATATGATGTCATTTCCAACTTTTACAATAGTAAATGTTATTTAAATTTTATAAAACAACATACTCTTCTACTTGTAGTTCATGAATCCGTGTTGTTGAGTTTTTACATTTGGCATTCAGATTTTTGTAAAAAAATCAAAATTTTACAAGCAAAACCGAATGTTCTGAAATCTAGTAAACGTTTTAAAATATAAAATTCAAATAAATCCTATCTAAAATATGCAAAATATTTTTATCATTCCATTCAAATTTTTTAGAATTACTTATACATGGTGACACAAATAAATTAATGAATGAGAGTCAATTTATTTTATTGATTAAATCACAAATGATGACGTTACATCAAAATTTTACCTAATAAATCCAAAATGCAAAATATGATTTGTGATTTTTCATTAGAATCGTATTTGTTAGAATTGGCTGCGTAACGTACACAGACAACAGACAGGTGAAAATGGTAGACCACCTTTTTCGTACTCTTGGGGTCATGAAACATTGAGAAACCATGAAAGTAGCCATTCGCTCGAAAAGAATAGACTTTATTACAATACTTCCTCCTGTGACCGTAAAAAATTCTAAAAAAAATATTTTTTGAAAGGAGCTGTAGAGAATTCAAAAAATGCGGGAAGAATTTCATACGAAAAAATTGGTCGAAAGTTGTTTCAACCGAAGTTTCCTCGCTCTTGAAGTAGAATGAAACATAAAAAATACACACCCAATCAGATTCACGAATTTAACTCGTTGCTATGGAAATTTGCAATTTAACACCTTTTAAATTTAACAAGTTTTTACAAGATTAATAATAGAGACAAAATCAGTCTTATCTTAGCAAGTACTATCCCCGCCCATCCGCCCCTATTTTCTCAGAGGATATGTCATTTGCCAAAATGAGTCCTGTCTTAGCAAGTACTAACCCGGCCCCTATTTTCTCAGAGGGTATGTTATCTGCCAAAATAAGTCTTATCTTAGCAAGTACTAGCCCCGTTCACCCGCCCTCTATTTTCTTAAAAGGTATGTTATTTGCCAAAATGCTAAGATAAGACTGATTTTGGCAAATGACAGAATCCTCGGAGAAAACAGGGGGTGGGTGGGCGGGGCTACTACTTGCTAAGATAATTAAATTTTGGAAAATGACATATCCTCTGAGAAAATAGGGGGCAAATCTAAAAAATATGAATGCAATGATAAATAATAAGTAAAAATTTATCATACTCTGCACATTTTAGGGAAAATTTATTCGGCAAAATTTTGAGATGACGTCATCAATTTGTTGGGGGAATAAACAAATATATTTTGGTTACATGCTTACAATAACTTTAAAATATCTGCAAGATTTCGAAGTATTTTTGTTGCAATTCTTGATTTAATCAATATAATCTATTGACTCAGTCATTAATTTTTTTGAGACACCCCGTCTAAGCAAATCTAAAAAATATTAATGCACAGATAAATCACAAGTATAGAATCATCATATTTTGCACATTTAAGATTATCTGTCTAATAGAAATCGGAGACGGCAAACAGACAGATAGACAGACGCACAGACAGACAGTTAGACGCACAGACAGACAGTCAGACGGAAACGGGAGACTTATTCTTTCGTATTGTAGGGGTCATGAAAGGTCGTGAAGCTTAAAAGTTGAGAGTCGGCCGACGGACTCGATTGCAATACTTCTTCGCTTACGCTCGGGAAGTAAAAATTAAAAAATATTTCAGTACAGTTCGAAAAAGAAAGCAATTTATTTGGTTTCATAGTTCTAGAATATTTTGTGAAGTGGTAGGCTATAAAGAAAAAGTTGAAAAAAAATTCTTGAAGTCAAAGACCGCATGGAAAAGGAGTGACATAAGACTTTTTTTTGACAACAAATAAGAACAGAAACATTAGTTACAAAAGAGAGTCGAATGAGAAGGCATTTGAAAAAAATTGTTTCCAAAGCTTGAAGAAATAAAAATTGTTCGATTAATGGAACAACTCTTGCTGAAAACCCTCAATCCTAACAATATTATGAAAATTGAAAAATTAGGTGGTTTTATTCATAATAATATAAACATTTTCAGCTGGTTTTGCGGTTAATTTCAACTGGTTCTGCGGTTATTTAATTTTTCCCGCTCGTTTGACAAGTGGCTAATTTCATGTCTTCTCGACGTTTCGTAACTCCTGTAATGTGATAAAGTAAGCTTTCCGTTTTCATTTATCTGACGTCTGACGTCTGTTGACGATTTTATTAGAAAAAAATCCGAAACTACTGGGCAGATTGTTACAAAACCGGACAGATTGTTGTAATTCGTTTATCTTAAAATGTTCCTTAAAATTTGTCTGTCCTTCTGGAGCGAGGGAAATTCTGTTTAAATAACTTTATCCCAGTTTTTACTTCCCGAGCGTAACCTAAGAAAGTATTGTAATAGGGTACATCCAACGAATAGCTACTTTACTGTTTACTCGACGTTTCATGATCTCTAGAATACAAAAAAGTAGGTCTCATGTTTCCGTCTGTCTGTGTTGTCTATCTGTGTTGATTTTTATTAGACAGACAATCTCCGAAACTACTAGACCAATCAATTCAAAGTTTATATGTATGACATTATGTATCAAACTATTTCAAATCATACCCACCAACAATGGAATGACTTCATTTCTAAAATTTACAATTTTGCTGAATAAATGTTCCTTAATTTTTATAAAATAACAAAATCCGGTATGTGTGATTTATGAATCTGTGTTGAGTTTACCACAGACATCCAGATTTTTGGTAAAGAATTGAAAATTCAAAAACATTATACAATTATTCAACTTTGGAGTGCCAAAATCAAATTCTCATAATACTCGTAACAACTATTCACTCAAAAAATATTCGGAATGTTTTACTCTATTTAAGCTTAATTAATTAAATAGTCCTCTCCTCTGATTAGATAAGACAAAATCAAAATCAAATTTTATTTTATTTTAACACAACTGCCACTGCTGATGTTATCTGAACGTAGAAATAGTCGCATTCTTTCGAAATATTAACAAACAACTGAAGTATTGTCTGAGAATACAAATTTTCCCGTTGTTTATCAGCTTTAAATATATTATTTCATATTAGTGGCACCTGTGCAGACCGCGTCCTTTATAGAAGTTTTCCGCCACTAGTTTTTACTTTATAGAGGTTTTCACAAAACAAAAATCGCAGAATCAAATTTTACAATTTTTCAGAGATACGCGATTTGTTGGACTGTACTTCAGGGGCGAGGGAAGTTCTGTTGAAATAATTTTCGACCAATTTTTTACTTCCCGAAAGAAGAAATAGGTCTCCCGTCTCCGTTTATCTGTGTGTCTGTCCGTCTGTCTGTCCGTCTGTCTGTCCGTCTGCCTGTCCGTCTGTCTGTCCGGAGGATTTTTATTAAACAGATAATCTCCGAAAGTACTGGACCGACTGTTGTCAAATTTTGTATTTATATTAGGAATATCATGTAGATGTAAAACGCTAACCAAAATTTGTCTAATCATCCCCACCAATAATAATGTGATGACGTCACTTCAAAATTGTAAATAGTAAATGGGTTTTAATTTGTATAAAATAACATAGTTTTACACATGCAGAATTTTGGAAAAAAAATAAAAACTTTAAAACAACATTAATTTTGCAATTTAATTTTGAATCTGCAAAACCGAATGCTTTGAAATCTTGAAGATGTTTTAAGGTTATGATAGGGATGATAAATTCTTAATCAAAATATATTTACTTATCCCTTTCAAAAAATTGATGACGTCCGTCAAAATTTTGTCGAACAAATCTTATCTATCACTGCATGCATATTATTATTTAGATTTTGTTTATACAGGGTGTCTTAAAAAAATAATGACTGAGTCAATTTATTTTATTGTTTAAATCAAGAACTGCAAAACTGAATATTTTGAAAATTTGCAGACGTTTTGAAGTTATTATAA